AATGTTGTTCCACCTAATAGAAAGAAAGGAGGGAGTACCTTCTCAGTAAAGGCCAATGTCATTGAGCATGGCAAATCTGCAATGAAGAGGAAGAAGCCCCTCCATGAACAAGGGCTCTATGCTGGGGCCAAGGGGTGGTGTTGCAAAGAAGCTGGCATACAAGTCGCGGGAACTTGGTTATCGGTTCTTTGGGAAGTGCTACAACTGTGGTAGCAAGGGGTTTTAGTTTTATTAGGGCTATACACCATATCTGCTCCGAGAAGGAGCTATTTACAACTTTTGAACCGGTTACAAATGGTAAGAAGTTGTTCATGGGAAACTCTACTACCTCATTTGTTGAGGGAAATGTGGTCCTAAAGTTAACCTCAGGAAAAGAGCTAACCTTGAATGAAGTCCTGTATGTTCCGGACATTCGTTAGAATCTTGTTTCAAGGTCTCTTCTCAGTAAACTTGTTTTTCGCATGGTTTTTTTGAGTCCGACGAGGTCTTTCTGACGAAACACAAGTGTGAAACTTGTGTTGAAGCGAAGTGGACAAGATCCCGTATGAGTTATGGAAGGCGTTAAGCGTTCTTGTAAATTCTTACAAATATGGGGGTGTCTTGCTATTGTGGCGATTCCTACACCCTAATAGGTTATGATAGGCCCGAAATCCGTAGATTGTATATTCATTGGTTATGCACATAATAATAGTGTATATCGATTTCTTGTATATAAGTCTGAATGCATGTTTTTTCGAACCTAAGAAGGGGTTCCGAAGTTTTGGAGCAATTTGGTGAGCTTGCTAGTGATGATGATCATTTTGATGATCAAGTTGAGAATCAAGGTGATGATCAGCCTAGAAGGAGTAAAAGGGCTAGGATGTCCAAGTCTTTTGATCCAGACCTCTTGACTTATATGGTTGAGAACGAACCTCAAACTTTCCATGAAGCTGCGACTTCTCCTGAGAGTCCTTTATGGAAAGAAGCGATCAAAAGTGAGATTGACTCCATCTTACAGAACCACACCTGGGAGTTGGTAGATTTACCTCTAGGTTACAAGCCTTTAGGCTGCAAATGGATTTTTAAAAGAAAGATGAAGGCCGATGGGTCTTTTGACAAGTATAAGGCGAGGCTCGTTATCAAATGGTACAGGCAACGAGAAGGTCTAGATTACTTTGATACATACTCACCTGTAACTAGGATAACATCAATTCGCATGGTGATTGCGTTAGCAGCTTTGCGCAATCTGGAGATATACTAGATGGATATAAAGACAACTTTCTTAAATGGGGATTTGAATGAAGAAATCTATATGGAGCAACCTATAGGGTTTTCAGCTCCAGGGCAAAGCAAGAAAGTCTGTAAACTTGTCAAAGCAAGCGCCTAAACAATGGCATGAGAAGTTTGACAACATAATGTTGTCAAATGGGTTTAGAATCAACGAATGTGACAAGTGTGTTTATGTCAAAAACACTGACAGAGGTTATGTCATTTCGTGTCTATATGTTGATGATATGCTCATTATATGTAGTAATGATGAAATGATCAAAACTACCAAGAAGTTGTTAAACTCTAAGTTTGACATGAAAGATGTGGGCATTGTAGATGTTATTCTGGGAATTAAGATTACCAGAATATCTGGCGAAATTGTACTTTCTCAGTCTCATTATGTTGATAAGATACTTGAGAAGTTCAGTGGATCAGATACGAGTGTGTCATCGACACCTGTAGACTTAAGTCTACATTTTACCAAGAATAATAAAAAAAGTGTCTCTCAGTTAGAATATTCTCGGGTAATTGGAAGTTTAATGTATCTGATGAGTTGTACTAGGCCGGATATAGCTTACTCAGTTACCAGGCTTAGTAGATACACAAGTAATCCCGATACTTCTCATTGGAAGGGCATTGTGCGGGTGTTAATGTATTTACGCTACACTCAGGATTATGGGTTGCATTATACTCGATATCCAGCGGTGCTAGAAGGCTATGGTGACGCGATTTGGATATCAGATATAAAAGATTCAAAGTCCACTAGTGGATTTGTGTTCATTCTTGGTGGGGCTGCCGTGTCTTGGAAATCTTCCAAGCAAACGTGTATATCTAGATCAACGATGGAATCAGAGTTTATTACTTTGGATAAAGCAACGGAAGAAGCTGAATGACTTCGCCATTTCATTGAAGATATTCCACGTTGGTCTAAACCTGTGCTAGCTATTTGTATTCATTGTGATAGTCAATCTGCAATTAGTAGGGCACAGTGTAATATGTATAATGGAAAGTCTAGACAAATCCGTCGTAGACATAATTCCATACGACAACTACTCTTGAATGGAGTTGTCTCTATAGACTATGTAAAGTCTAAGGACAACATTGCGGATCCGCTAACTAAAGGGTTAAATTGAGTGTTAGTCGAAACGTCGTCAAAAGGAATAAGGTTAAGGCCTTTGGAAGTTACCGGAATGGAAACCCAACCTAGTTGACTGGAGATCCTAAGATCTAGGTTCAATGGGACAACCTAATTATGTGTAACGGTGGTATGTCACTGAGGAGTTTAAACCTCCAACCATTCCTTCTATCAGTGATACCTGCAAGTGTAGAGGTTAAGCTGAGCTTTTAATGACTCTTGTATGTTAAGCTGTTGAGCTAAGTATAGCAGGATACTAAAGTAGAGTCACCTATACGAGTTTGAAGTGGGGCCGCTTCTAGAAGAATTGGGCAGGCCAAGTTTCTTTGAAACCACTCGCTGAACCAGGCTAGTGCCCAAGGCCATACAGGGCACATCAGTGAGAACAGAATGGTGGAAGGAGTAATTCCCTTGTGAGATCTATTGTCTCAGTTTACATAAACGGCAGAGCAGTTCAAGATGTTATATTCACTGGTCAGCCAGTAAACTCGATAGGTTTTCACTGGGAGAGGTTCAAAACCAAAAGCTACCTTGTCTGATGTCGGGGTTAGTTCGTTGTACTCTCTCTCTCCGAGTCATTATTGTTGAACGATGTCCGTTTGTTGAGTCATTCGGTCAATTTTTATTCATGTGGGGAATTGTTGGAAAAAATGGTTTTTTTGGTGACTTTAATTTAATATTAAAGTGTTGTGACTTTAATTAAATATTAAAGTGGGTCTCAACCATTTATTGTGTTGGGTCTAAGTGCGCCAAAAACCATTGAGAATTGAATGAGAAATTGCCCCATGAAGTTAGCTTCATGAAAGAGTTAATGGGGTTTGTAACTTTTGCCTTTATTGCAGAGTTTAATAGTGCATTAATGAGGTTTGTAACTCCTGCCTTTATTACAGAGTTTAATAGTGCATTAATGAGGTTTGTAACGCCTACCTTTATTGTAGAGGTTAATGGTGCATTAGTGACCAGCCATAAAGGCTGGAGGCTTCTCCTCTCTCTCCTATACATATATAAATTAAGACCCTCCTGTCAAGTCTTATATACAGAAATTGTTTTTTCCATTCTTTAGTCAGTTTGCCAGAAAGTTCCTACTGTGAGAGAGTGTTGCCATTGTTTTTGTTCGCTAAGCTAGACAGAGAGTGCTTCTGCCGTAGCTGGTTTTTGACCGTCGTATCCTGGGAGACAGACGCCGGGATTCCTCAAGCACTTGACCCGTGAGGCGGCGAAATCTGTTTTAAGGAAACTGCTACCGTGCAGGCTTCGGTTTGGTTTCTTTATCATTTTATTGTTTTGTGTATTTCTATTGAAATTTAGTTGTAATTATCAGCATATGCTCTTGGTATATATTTTTGATTTCTTCATAAATCTATTTAATTAATTTCATAATTTGAACAACAAATTATTGGCAAGCCCATTCCTAAATTATTTTTTTAGGGTTATTCCAATTTTATTGTTTTATAAATTAATTATTATTTTTCTTTTAAAAAATAATAATAATTTCACAGTATATCTGTATTTAAGGATAAAAATTCTTGTAGTTCAAAATTTGGACTATCGAACGCTGTTTGGACTTATGAAGCTTATCACAAGTCCAATTTCAATAATCTAAATAATTTATTTTATCAGACACTTCTTATATTTCATTTTAAAAAAAATTAAGTTAATCTGATAATTATAATTTATTTAATTTATTATTTTTGTCATCGAAAAAATAAATAACAATTATATTTTCAAAAATAAATTATTAATTTTTTTGATAAAAAATATAATAAATTAAATAGATTACTATTATCAAATCCAATTAATTTTTATAAATGTAATATATAAAATATTTAATAAAATAAATTATAATAAAACTCGTAATAAACCTACGGTCCAAAAAACACATTCCCGTCCAGGTTTTTGACCAAGGAATCCAGCTCGGTAATGTTAGAGACGTTAATGCTGTGTTTAATTAGAGGATTTGACCAAAAATAATAATAATAATAATAATAATAATAAATAAATAAAAAGTGTATAAAATTAAATAAAATATAAATATATTTTATTTATTTATTTTTTCAAATTTTTCTTCAAATCTTCTAATTAAACATAGCGTAAAAGTTTTATTAAATTTTTTATCGAATTTTTTATATAAGTGTGGGACTTACACCATGTGAGTTTCATGTGTATCCTATATTTATACGAGACATTTAATAAAAATTTTGATAAAATTTTTAAAATCTTTAATATTTTTGTTCAATAAAGAATCTAATAAGAAATGCTATAGATCTCAAAAATTTTAATACATATCTCACATGGGTACGAGATACATATACGAGTCTCATGTGAATTCTATACTATATAAGATAACTTCTAACATTTTTGTAATTTAATCCCACAGTATGAACACACGTGACGGCCTGAGTGGGAGAGAGAAAGGGTACACACAACTAACAAAATGCGACGGCGCACAAGATTGGAACACCCCAACATGAAACTGTCTGGTAAACCAACCAGTCAAAACACCCTGTCCTCTCTTCTTTTCCTTACATTTTTCACTCCCAACTGTATATCCTCCTCCTTCCCCCTCAAACCCTAACTACTCTTTCTCTCTCTCTCTCTCTCTTAAATTGTACTACACAGCTGATCCCAAAGCTAACAACCCTTCTTCGATCATTTCTCTCTAATTACTACAATCTCTCTCGAACCTGTAAACATCCCCTCATCTCCTCCTCCTCTCCCTCCTCAAAGTCATCATCATCATATCTACCTTTTACTCTTCCTTCTCACCTGCAAGTCCTGCTTCACCCAGTACACCTTCTCTTCTCTTCTCTCATCTCCTCAAAGTCATCTACCTTTATTCTCTCTCTCTCTCTCCCCCTCTAACTCTTTAGTTGATTAAAGGATTTAATTTTTGCCTCACATGTTACTACTCCATTTGATGTTGTCCATTCGCATATATTCCATCTCTGCAAAAGATACTCCTTTTTTCGTTTCCAACTTCTTTGGAATTCTTTAATTTTTTAATTACAAAAAAATTCGACAGAAATAAGAATTGTTCGGAGAAGATCAAGGAAATTCCGGTGGTGGTGACGGCTAGCTTGGAGGCACAAATGGCCGCTCCACCTAGTACCCGGCTGCAAAGTATGTTACAGACGGCGGTGCAAACTGTTCAATGGACATATAGTCTCTTCTGGCAGTTGTGCCCTCAGCAAGGGTACGTAATTTGGAATAAGATTCTCTACAATATTATTCTAGTAATAATTTTAATAATTTTGTAATAATCAAAATTATTACTAGAATGATTGTGTTTTGGATTAAAATCACCTAATTAAACTACCATTGTAAGATTATTGTAAGAAGAATTATTACACAGAATCCATAGTCCACCTAATTATTGGGGTATAATTTTTCACTTCAAGATCAACTATCAAGAATTCAAGATCAACATAATTGTTCACTTCTGCTATGAACATAGAGACCAAACACAAAATTAAACACATAATACATATAAAATTTCACAGAATTTATTAGTGGGACCTACTTCTGAAATTTTGTATCCGATTCTATTACCGGTTTCTATGTTGCTAGATTTGTTGATAATTGTTTTGTTTGCATGGGTTTCATGGTGGCATAGGATCTTAGTATGGGGAGATGGGTACTACAATGGAGCAATCAAGACTAGGAAGACAGTACAGCCAATGGAGGTGAGTGCCGAGGAGGCGTCGCTCCAAAGAAGCCAGCAGTTGAGAGAGCTCTACGATTCACTCTCTGCCGGAGAGTCAAACCAGCAAACACGGCGGCCTTGTGCTGCCTTGTCACCGGAGGACTTGACGGAGTCCGAATGGTTCTACCTAATGTGTGTCTCCTTCTCTTTCCGATTGGTGTTGGGTAAGTGTTATTGCCAATTTAGCATGCTTTCTTTTGATTTAACAACAATATGTGAAATGTATAAATCAAATTTAAAACCAAACACAATAAATATTATTCCATCAGAATTTTGCAAAAGAATGATCTCATAATATTATTTGTGAACATCTTAATGTCTATTTGTTCTTTTTTTATATCACTATTCTTTAAAAAAAAAAAAAAATGTATAAAATTTATGACCATTCTTAAATATTTGTCAGGAGATTTTGTGATAAATAATAGAGTGATGCTTGAGACCACTAATTAGTGTTACGATTAATGATGTGGCAGTGGGTCTCACCTATGACAAACCTATTGTCATAGTGTGTGCTGTGCCTTTTTTTTTATTATTTTTCACTTCACTAGTAGTGGATTTAGAGCTCATTATTTAAAGCTCTAAATCATTTTTGTAAATAATAATAATAATAATTACCTTCTCAGTTGTGCCAAGTTCAACAACACCATCTAATAGAGGAATGCATACTACAGTCTGCAACATGATTAGCAAAATCACTTTCTTAATCAGAAACACAGACAGCATAAAAACACATACTTTCACAGAAGTACAAAACTATTAATGAAATGGTTGACAGAAATTACCTGAACCCGAGCACTCTGGTGCGACCACATGGAAATTCAGGAAACATAAGAGAAGAAACCAACTAATTAAAAAAAATATTACTATCACATAATTTCAATAAATTTTCCACATTTTGGTTATAGCCACCTTGGCGAGAATAGCTCTAGAAAAAACTTTGCTACCAACCTCGTTCGCCCCAATAAGCCACAAGAGTATCTAACAAGTTGTTGTTTTTTTTTTGTTTTTTTTTTTATAATTATGCTAGGGTTTTTTAAACATACTGAAAATGTTTCCTCAATGTTTCACTTAAAAATTTTCATTATAGTTTCGTCTCTATTACTGAAATTTTATTATATTTCATTTAGAAACATGATTTACAAACATAGTTTTTAATAGCAAGTGAGGGTTTTTGTTTGAAATGAAAGTACAAAAATTATGAAATATGAACACCATTTATCTGCTGTGATGTGTAGTTTACCGGGAAAAGCTTATGCGAAGAGGCAACACGTGTGGCTTACTGGGGCGAACGAGGTTGATAGCAAAGTTTTTTCTAGAGCTATTCTCGCCAAGGTAGCTATAACCAAAACGTGGAAAATTTATTGAAATTATGTGATAGTAATATTTTTTTTAATTAGTTGGTTTCTTCTCTTATGTTTCCTGGATTTCCATGTGGTCGCACCAGAGTGCTCGGGTTCAGGTAATTTCTGTCAACCATTTCATTGATAGTTTTGTACTTCTGTGAAAGTATGTGTTTTTATGCTGTCTGTGTTTCTGATTAAGAAAGTGATTTTGCTAATCATGTTGCAGACTGTAGTATGCATTCCTCTATTAGATGGTGTTGTTGAACTTGGCACAACTGAGAAGGTAATTATTATTATTATTTACAAAAATGATTTAGAGCTTTAAATAATGAGCTCTAAATCCACCACTAGTGAAGTGAAAAATTAAAAAAAAAGGCACAGCACACACTGTGACAATAGGTGAGACCCACTGTCACATCATTAATCGTAACACTAATTAGTGGTCTCAAGCATTACTCTATTATTTATCACAAAACCTCCTGACAAATATTTAAGAATGGTCATAAATTTTATACATTTTTTTTTTTAAAGAATAGTGATATAAAAAAAGAACAAATAGACATTAAGATGTACACAAATAATATTATGAGATCATTCTTTTGCAAAATTCTGATGGAATAATATTTATTGTGTTTGGTTTTAAATTTGATTTATACATTTCTGATGGAATAATATTTATTGTGTTTGGTTTTAAATTTGATTTATACATTTCAAAAATTGTTGTTAAATCAAAAGAAAGCATGCAACACACATTAGGTAGAACCATTCGGACTCCGTCAAGTCCTCCGGTGACAAGGCAGCACAAGGCCGCCGTGTTTGCTGGTTTGACTCTCCGGCAGAGAGTGAATCGTAGAGCTCTCTCAACTGCTGGCTTCTTTGGTTTTAAATTTTTGAATTCAATTTTTTAGAAATTGAGTCTTTTGTTTTTCGTATTTTTTATTTTTAGTGAATATTTTTAAAATTTTAAGCAATTGTTTTTACATTTTTAGATGCACCTTATTTAGATGTATCTAAATAATAAAATATTTGTGAAAAATATTTTAAAAAATTAATAAATACACAAAAATACAAAAAAAAAATGTGCTGAATTTTCGTTTTTTTTTTTTTTGGTATTTAGTGAATTTCTTTAAGATTTTTTTCACAAATATTATACTTTTTAAGGAGATTTATGTTAAGTGTGTCTAAAAATTAAAAAAATCAGTGAAAACAAAAAGTACGAAAAACAAAAAATAAAATTTTTTAAAAAGTGAATTTTAAAAATAAAAACCAAACAAAGTGCTTTCGTTTTTAAAACAATTATTCAATTTTATAAGCCTTTTCATTTGAAATGAATGAATATAAATTTGTCACGTTATTCTATCCGATTTTATTTAAAACAAATTTTATGTTTGTATTAATTACTCATTTAATAATACATGTCTTGGTTTCTTTTTAAATATGACAAACCAGACAAATAGTAAATGAGCCTGTACTATGCACATATCATGATTTGAAGCAAAAAAATCATTTATATCTATGTGAAATTTTACTGTATACACTCTTTAAAAAATTGTATATTATGGTCATGTTTGTTTGGGTGGACTGAATTAGCATTCCTATGACTAATAATTCTGGGATTACGAATCCGTTAGATTATGTATCCTATCTTAACTAAAAGTCAAGTTTAAAATAATTAGTCCGTACTTCAATTGTTTAACCAAATATCGGATTAATAATTTTATTAGACTATTAGTCCAATCTCAAGCTCATGTCCACCCAAACAAACATGGCCTATAGGTATTTTATAATTAAAAAAATGATATAATTTTTTATTTTTTAAGTCATAATTAAAAAAAATAAAAATCATAATTAAAACATTATATGAGTGTGTATATCATTAAATCTTTCCCTATGACTTAGAATAATATTAGATAATATGAATCGACATTCCACATTGATAATCTAGTAATACAATAGCCTAAACCTATGTGGCATTTCAGGTTCAAGAAGACATAGGATTCGTACAACACGTGAAGAGTTTTTTCGTGGATCACCACACTCCCCAGCCTCCAAAGCCGGCTCTCTCCGAGCACTCCACTTCTAACCCCGCCACCTCATCTGATCACGCACGTTTCCACTCCCCTCCATTGCCAGCCGCCATGTACGCAGCGGTTGATCCTCCAGCGATTGCCAACCAAATTGACGAGGAGGAAGAAGAAGAGGAAGAGGAGGAGGAGGAAGAAGAAGAAGGCGAGTCGGACTCGGAAGCTGGCACGGAGGCTCAGAACCCTCTCGTTCTCCCTCAGGGTGTAGCTGTGGCTCATCATGCAGCTGCCGAGCCAAGCGAGCTTATGCAGCTGGAAATGTCTGAGGATATCAGGCTTGGCTCCCCTGACGACGGCTCGAATAACTTGGACTCGGAATTTCAGTTGCTAGCCGCAAGCCAAGCCGGAAACCCGGCTGATCAACATCGCCGAGCTGACTCGTATAGGGCTGAGTCGATTCGGAGGTGGCCCGTGTTGCAGGATCCCTTGAGTAGTAGTCTTCAAGCTCAACCACCTTCAGGTACGATGATAATTTTTGATTTAATGATTAACCAAAACCAATCATAGTGGGGTGTTGTAAGTGGGACCTACAATTGTGGGTCCCTTATGTCCACTTGTAAGTGGGGAGAGTAGTGATCATCAGACACAGATGCTCTGCATGTGTCTGTCAAAGTTGACCTTTCCGACCAATGCAGGGTGTCTATCCAAATCCATGCAAAACATTTGCTAGGCACACGCTAGAATCTAGCACTACTAGATACGCCTCAACTAATCTCAGCTGTTGATCAGTGGAATCAAATATGCTAATTTTATAACCCAAAAAAAAATTAAAAATATATAATTATTTTTTATTATTCTAACTTTTGTTAAAATATTTTATGAATAATTCAAATTACCAAAGTCAATTCTAAAATATACTCATTAAATCCGAACACTCTCAAATTGAGTGGTTAATTTCAAAGAATTCAATCCCAACTTACAAATAGCCTAGTGTGTTTGGTCTCAGTTTTCTAAATTCAATTTTTTATTTTTCGTGTTTTTTTATTTTTAGTAAATATTTTTAAATTTTAAGTAATTTTTTTAGTTTTTTAAATGTACCTTACTTAAATGTATCTAAATAGTAATATTTGTAAAAAAAAAATATTTTAAAAAATTAATAAATACACAAAAATATGAAAAAATGTATTGAATTTTTATATTTTTTGATATTTTAAAATATTTTTTTCACAAATATTATAATCCTTTCTAAGTGTATTTATGTAAGTGTGTCTGAAAATTTAAAAACTTGCTTAAAATATTTAAAAAAATTTGTGAAAAAATATAAAAAATAAAATTTTATGAAAAGTGAATTTTGAAAATTGGAAACAGACATGGTGATTATTGTTTTTTTTAAAAAAAAATTGGGTAAAACAATTATTTTCACATTATTAATCTTTGATTAAAAATGTCTGACCAAATTAATTATCTTGAGTTAATTTTATGCCATCAAATGCAATATTAATTTATCTTAAAAATTATTTAATTTAATCCCTCATACGTGCATCAAAACTCTCATTTAAAAATTGATTAATTTAATTAATTTCTTACAAAATATATAAAAATAATAAAAATAATGATATGACAATTTGAAATCCCAAATGGGGGGAACTTCAGTTGAAAAATAGTCTCATATCCTCGGTAGCATTTTCCAGTCGCCATTTCCTGTAGCCCCCCAAAACGACGTCGTTCTTTCCTCTCTCTCTCTCTTCTTCCCCTCCCCTCCCCCTCTGGTTTCTACCAAACGCCATGAATGGCTGACGGAAGAGAAAGAAGAAAAAGAAAAGAAAAAAAAAATAAAAAAAACCCCCCAAAACGACGTCGTTTTGGGAGGCTACAGGAAATGGCGACTGAAAAATGCTACCGAGGATCCAGATTCTTGAAAAATAGTCTCATCTTTATTAGTAATAGTAGAGTTTCTTTCTTCCTTTTTTTTCTTTTTAAATATTATATTATTAGTAATATTATTGCTTGATTGTCTCTATATATTTTCAAATTTTGGTCAGGAGGACCTGCATTGGAGGAATTGAATCAAGAGGACACGCACTACTCTCAAACAGTCTCCACCATTCTCCAACACCAATCAAGCCGGTGGTCAGAGTCCTCCTCTTCCGCCACCGGCTACCTCATGTACTCCTCTGAATCAGCATTCTCCAAGTGGATGCTCCGTCCCTCCGACCACCAACACCACCACCACGTTGCCGCCGTAGACGGCACCTCCCAGTGGCTCCTCAAATACATCCTCCTCAGCGTCCCCTTCCTCCACACCAAATGCCGCGACGAGAATTCCCCCAAATCTCGCGACGCCGCCGACTCCGCCTCCCGATTCCGCAAAGGAACGCCGCAGGACGAGCTCTCCGCCAACCACGTCCTCGCCGAGCGCCGCCGCAGAGAGAAGCTCAACGAGCGCTTCATCATTCTCAGATCTCTGGTCCCCTTCGTCACCAAAATGGATAAGGCTTCGATTTTGGGGGACACCATCGAGTACGTGAAGCAATTGCGGAAAAAAATTCAAGATCTCGAGGCTAGGGCACGCCAGAACGAGAACGATCAACGGTCCAGATCATCTTCGGACCCACAGAGAACGAGTAGCTTGAGCTTGAAGGAGCAGAGGAGTGGGAGTGGGGTCACCGCTTTGACGGATCGGACTCGGGTCGGGTCGGATAAAAGGAAGCTGAGGATTGTGGAGGGGACTTCCGGTGGCAAGCTGAAGGCAGTGGATTCTCCTCCGCCGGCGGAGCTTCCGCCCCCGCCGCCGCCTCCACCGCCGCCGCAGCCGATGGAGGGAGTGACGATGCAGGTACAGGTGTCGATAATAGAGAGTGATGCGTTGGTGGAGTTGCAGTGTCCGCATAGGGAAGGGTTGTTGTTGGATGTGATGGTGGTGCTCCGGGAGCTTCGGGTGGAGGTCACGGCTGTGCAGTCGTCGTTGACTAATGGGGTCTTTGTTGCTGAGATGAGGGCCAAGGTATTATCTTTTTCATCTGGACCGTTCATCTAATAATCAAATACTAGTATGCTAACTGACATTTCGATCAAAAAGTGTCAGTAATACTGGGCTATCGCACGTTTGATTGATAGGTGGTCATGATTATGGGCTTAAGGCCCATTACTGAGATATGAGCCCGTTTTTGTTTGGGCTCCATCAATAGGCCAAAATACACAAATTAACAACCTTTCTGCCTCTTTTTGGGCCTAGACTGTTGTAGCCCAATTCATAGGTGTCAATGAAAATATTTCGTGTTAATGGAGTCATGTAAAAACTAAAAAACTTATATTTTGACTTAAAATTACTTATCTATTTTGGCATCTAGGTTAAAAGGCAGCTTTTTTAACTTTTTTATTTTTATTTTTTTAGGTTTCATTATTTCTTTAACTTTTTTTTACACGTTTTTTTAACAAAAATCAATTTTTTTTAAAAAAAAAAATTTTAAATCAACCTTTTAACCTACTCAAGTACTTTTTTTTTAAAAAAAATTATTTATTAAAACTAAATAATTTGTAACCGCAGCCAAATAGTATTATCTATTTATTATTTTTCATTCATGTGTTTTTTTTTCATGACATGGGATAATCAAAACATATCGTTTGGTTTGATTTTCTGAAAAAATTTTGGGAAATTTTCTTTACAAATAAGTTTTCAAAAATAATCAAACCAAACAAATTTTCTCAAAAAAATTTCTCAAAACTTGTAAACTAAACAAGTTTTCCAAACAAATCTCTCTCTCACACATATCAAATCAATCACTTTTTCCAAAACTCTATCTCAAAATAATTTTCCAAAACATCTTTTAAAAAAAACCAAACCAAACATGTTTTCGTACTTTTTATCTCTAAAACACATCTCTCAAACACAAACCAAACATACCCAAAACTTTCTTCAAGTTTTTGTTTTTATTTTTATTTTTTGACCCTGAAATTTTCTATTCTTCCATTCCCTACAAATAGACTCAAACCCACATATATGCATTATCCAAATTACTTTGCACTTGCCTACACTATCTCTCCGAAAGCTAATACCATTAATTAGATGACATTCACTCTTCATTTTTCTTAATTTGATTGTTTTTATGTTGATTTGGTTTTTAAAAAAAAAAAAAATTAAGTTGTGTATTCACTGATATTTTTCCTATTCTGTATTTTTAACTTGAATAATTCAATAAAATTGCCAGTATAATGCAGTTAAATTGCCAGTTTGAAACTACTAAAGCTTCCAAACAATTCATTAGTTTTAAATTCTTAGTCGGTTAAATTCCTAGTCATCAATTTATGCTAGTATGGTAATTGTGTTTAGCTCTGTTCAATGACATCTACAGGTGAAGGAAAATGTAAATGGGAAGAAACCAAGTATTGTGGAAGTAAAGAGGGCAATTCACCAAATCATACCCCAGTACTAATGACACTCTCTCTCTCTCTCTCTCTCTGTGGTTATAGTATGTTGTTGCTCACCAATTAATGATCTGACGGAGCAGTGATTATGTTGTTAATAAGATAAATTTAAGAAGGCATTCTTAAATGTAATCTTGTAGAATTTATGCCACAACTAAAAACTAATTATCTACCAAGCAAAGCAATATATATAAATTTGTTTCCTCTTATTGTTAAATTGATTGAATCTTAACTGTGGCAGAGTTATTGAATGAGACCGAAGGTCAAAAAAATACTTTAAATTCAATAAACATAACTATTAAGATATTAAAGTGTTGCTGGAAACATACTATTTTAATAATTTTTTATTTTTTATGAAAAGATTGTTGTTCATCTTGTGAAATTAAATAAATAGATTTATGAAGAAATATACTAAGAACACATGCTAATAATTACAACTAAATTTCAACAGAAATACACAAAACAATAAAAGGGTAAAGAGACGAAATCGAAACCTGCACGGAAGCAGTTTCCTTAAAATAGATTTCGCCGCCTCACTGGTCGAGTGCTTGAGAAATCCCGGCGTCTGTCTCCCAGGATACGACGGTCAAAACTAGCTACGGCAGAAGCACTATCTGTCTAGCTTAGCAAACACAACAATGGCAGCACTCTCTCACTGTAGGAACTTTCAGGCAAACTAACTTGTGAAATGGAAGTAAAAATTTCTGTGTTTGAAATTTGACAGGAGGGTCTCAATTTATACATGTATAGGGGAGAGAGGAAGAGCCTCCAGCCTTTATGGCTGTTCATAATGCACCATTAACCTCTGCAATAAAGGCAAGAGTTACAAACCCCATTAATGGAGGAGTTACAAACCCCATTAATGTAGGAGTTACAAACTTCATTACCTTTTTTCCATGAAGCTAACTTCATGAGGTAATTTCTCATTCAAATCTCAATGGTTTTTGGCCATTCTATCTGTGGTGTAAAGATCTCAATGCAAAGTATCTAGACCCACTTGGACCCAACACAATAGATGGTTGGGACCCACTTTAATCTTTAATTAAAGTCACCACACTTTAATATTAAACCGAAACCTGCACGGAAGCAGTTTCCTTAAAACAGATTTCGCCGCCTCACTGGTCGAGTGCTTGAGGAATCCCAGCGTCTGTCTCCCAGGATGCGACGGTCAAAACCAGCTACGGCAGAAGCACTATCTGTCTAGCTTAGTGGCAGCACTCTCTCATTGTAGGAACTTTCAAGCAAACTGACTTGTGAAATGGAAGTAAAAATTTTTGTGTTTGAGACTTGACAGGAGGGTTTCAATTTATATGTATAGGGGAGAGAGGAAGAGCCTCCAGCCTTTATGGCTGTTCATAATGCACCATTAACCTCTGCAATAAAGGCAGGAGTTACAAAACCCATTAATGCAGGAGTTACAAACTTCATTACTTTTTTTTATGAAGCTAACTTCATGAGGTAATTTCTCATTCAAATCTCAATGGTTTTTGGCCATTCTATCTGTGGTGTAAAGATCTCAATGCAAAGTATCTAGACCCACTTAGACCCAACACAATAGATGGTTGGGACCCACTTTAATCTTTAATTAAAGTCACTAAAAAATCATTTTTTCCAACAATGATGTACAAAAAAAATAAAAAGAGTAATGTGACAATTTATAGTGAATTTTTAAATTTTTGACTAAAATACTTAGTCTCCAAACAAGGCCTAAGTTGTGCTTAAATTTTAAATTTGTAAAAAAAAATTATTTCATTTTATTTTATTTTATTTATAAATTCAAGATCCAAACACATTTTATATTAAATAAATAAATAAGGAGAAGAAGAAGAATAAGAAATGTTTATTATTCTTTGGATTTGCTTACAACGTACAAATATTTGTCCCCTTCAGTAATAAAAATTAATTAATTTCTCTTCTACGGCACTTGTGCGAGATTTCATCTGCAGTTATAAACAAATTTCCAATTTCTTTAATTAAAAAGTGAAACAACAAATATCAACAATTATGGGAGACTCGTGTCCAATTACTAGAGACAATAAAATGTCCAGAAAGGGTAAGGGTATTTTTTATATCCCTAACAAAAAGAAAAAGAAAAAAAAGAAAAGAAAAGAAAAAGAGAGCATAGCTGTACACATTTCTAATATCTTTTTTTTTTTTTTCAAAAAAAATATTTTTAAACTATTTCACAAATTTTCCATTTTTTTTTTTCACATTCATCAACATTATTAACATTTTTTTAACATGATATGTTTTATATGTAAAAATTCTGTGATATATGATAATTCTCTATTATAAATTATTTTGGTCCGAATTTGCCTTGTGCACCACCATTCAGCTTGTTTGGTTTTGATTTTCAGAATTTTTTTTTTAAAAATTCTACTTTTTTATTTTTCATATTGTAATGTTTCCAATGATTTTTTTTAATCTCTCAAGCAATTTTTTATTTTATTTTTAGACACACCTAACATAAATATACTTAAAATGTACAATATTTGTGAAAAAAAATTCTTTAAAAAATACACTAAATACCAAAAATACAAAAAAAATAAAAAATAAAAATTTAAAACATTTTTTGTATTTTTGTGTATTTATTAATTTTTTAAAATATTTTTTCACAAATATTTTACTATTTATATATATCCAAGTAAAGTGTATCTAAAAAAATATATAAAATTGCTTAAAATTTAAAAAATATTCACTAAAAATAAAAAAAATACGGAAAATAAAAAATATAATTTTCAAAAAACTGAAATTAAACACATTGAATGTTATTTTTTATAAATCTATTTACAAATTAGGAGTTCCAAACAAAAAAGTCAACTCATTTTAAATATGGATAAATTCACTTTTTATCATTGTAAGTTAATTTAAATTTTATTTTGATTCTTAAGTTCATAAGTAAAAAATTTCAAATCAAAAAATGGTATGTATAAAATTTGGATTAAAATTACAAAAAAGTGTAGTTCACCCAAAAGAGAATCATACCTTCCCTCCAATTTTTGGTGAACAGTTTGTTTGATGGTGTAATTCTCTGACCATTCTGTTTTTTTGAAGGCAGAGAAACGAGAGAGTGAAATAATGGAGAAGGGTACACCAAACAAGTCGAGCACCAACTGTGAAAGCAACACAAGATCTGAAATATGTTTATATATATATTACTTTAAAGAAATTGGAATATATTCTGAGGAAGGTTCTACCATTTTTGCCCCCTCTTGTCAGTAGTATATACAAGACTATAGTTTCTGGGTCAGATTCAGACTCTGTAATTCGATTTCAATTGCAAATGGGTTTTCTTCAGAGACATCATCTTCTCCTCCTTGTCCTTGTACATTCCATTCTCTTCCTCTCTTATCGGGTCCAATCTCTAGGTAATCTCTCTCTCTCTCTCTCTCTCTCTCTCTCTCTGTTATATGTATGTGTGTGTGCTGTTTGTTCAATCTGGATCCCTTATATTGTTCAAGTATCAGTGAATTGGTATCTGTTTTGAGAATGGGTCTTTTTCTTGGGATAGAAATAGATGTGGCAAGATCTGAACAAAATGATATGTATGAAGGGTATGCATGATTATATACTGATTTATCTAGTATGATTTTCTTCTGGGTTTGGATTTGCATACTATGTTGCTTTGATCTTGGATCCAATCACATTTGGCAATATTTTTGAAGTCAATGAACCATGGATTGAGAAAAGCAGCGGAAACATTAGGGTTTTAGGGTTATTTGTATCACTGGAAATTGCTGAAAATGGTTGGTTCTGATTCTGATTCTGATGTCTGAGACACACACACACACACACGTGTTATCTTCTTGTTTCACAACTAATTTGAAGGCACCAAGTATAATGAATCCTTTAGGTTAGATTAGAAATGATGTTGTAGGATGAAATTTCTAGTTGTCTGTTGATCAGGAAATAATGTGTTAGCACTTAGCATTGGTAAATTGCTCAGACAATTCTAATATCTTCCATTTGATGTTGTTGAATTGAATGGCCTAGATATGGCATATGAACAGATTTGTAGATTTCAGATCTGGATGTTCATTAGTGAGGGAAAGAACAAAGAAACAATCAAACTAAAGTACCTAGGTTAAACCTTTGACCAAGTGTAGTACTCTTCCTTTTACCTCATGATCTACAATCAACAGTGAGTGATTCTCGATGACTGCCTCTCAATTGACTCAAGAACATAGAGATTTTTATATAAGAACTTGAATGTTCATATGTGTAGCCTATTTGGGTCTTGTTCACTGTCTTCTATGGTAATTGATTAGATTTCCATCTTGAAACTAGCTCAGCTGAGTTACTACTAAATCATAAAACAGAGCCACAACTCTTTTCTTTAGCTTAACTGTACCTGAACCATGGTTTGCAAATGTCCTCAGAAAAGAGAGATCCATGTTCCGACATAGTGATGCACCATCTTTGCCCTCATCCATGAATCCCCAAAAGTTAACAATTCAATTCAAGCTCTTGATTCAATATTAAAAGCGGCAAAAGCACAAGACAGGAAAGCTGTTGTTTAAGGCTTTATGTTTTCGTAGGCCATCTGTTTCCCTTGAGAAAAAAGCGTAACTTGACATACATTTGCTATCAATGGCAAGAGGGTAGGTGATATACATGCTACTCTGCACATTGGCCCAAACCAATCAAACAATTTCTGCTTGCTATAAAATGGGATTTTTTTAATTTTTTATTTATTTTTTGTACATGATACAGTGAGAGGTTTGATTTTCCCACTGACTAGATCCTTTGGGCAAGAAAAATATAATTTTCTAAATGGCTTCCATTGGATGCAATGAACCCTCTTTGAACAAAAACTCTCCATCATTCTTTGTCTATAATTTTGTACTTGGTATGATCTTCACAGTATTAATCTCTCAACAATATACTTTGCTGCAGATGAGAAGCAAAATCTGCTTCAAGGGTTGAATAGTTATCGAGCATCCTTGAACCTGAGCGCCCTCACCGAGAACAGTAATGCAGTTTGTTTTGCAGACGAACTAGCGAGCCAGTTCAAGAACCAACCGTGTTCAAATACTACCGGTGCAGACACTGTTCCAGGCACTGAGCCTCAGTTATCCAACTATCCAGACCTACTTGCCAAATGCCAACTAAACATAACTGATACCAGAGATGGGGCACTAATGCCTGTTTGCGTTCCCAACCTGGATCCAAACCTCGTGCTCACAAACTATACAGAGACTCAGTACACACAGTATCTAAATGAGAGCACTTACATCGGAGCAGGGATTGGTGCAGAAGGTAACTGGATGGTTGTCGTTTTAAGCACAAACACAATGGGAGGGGCATTCAGCCCAGCTGTAAATGTGGCGAGTTTGTTTTTTAATGTTGGTTTGGCACAAAACTTGATGCCATTGTTGTTGGTGTTCATTCTCGTTTTGCTGAGTTGAAATTGACTACATGTTCAAAACATTAATTTTTTCCCCTGATTTCTGATTATTATATATTTGGCTGATGACTTTTCTCAGACCTTTCAAAAAGTGGTTTGAAGGTTTTGCCAAAAAACCTAGCTGTGTTTTTGCACTCAGACAGTGGGTTGCCGAATACTCCAAGGAAATTGCTGAATGTTTATTCCATCAAATAAATTCTTGAATGCTCATTCAATATATTCCACTCATGCTTGATGTACAGTTGGCAACACTGTTGTATCACTGCCAGAACTATGTGGTATAGTTAAGCATCTATCCCAATCGAATTATTTTCACTCCATACAAATGGATAAGGAGTATTTTCAGCAAGAGATGGTCCTAATCAAATTTTTGGGTCCACTCCATATAAACGAGATAGGGAGTATTTTCAGCAAGAGATATATTGAAGAGTTAGTGCTACACGCCAAAATTCAAAGTTCATCAGAAGCTTGGTGTAAAATTTCAGAAAAACTCACTTGTTATGCTTACATAGATAATAATTAGGCAAAAGCGAAATTGATTAGTCAGAGCAGGTTCAACAGATAACAGGAAATGACTACCAATCTTACATCTGTTACAAAACCTTAATGCAACTATAATCACAAAATCTCAGAAAAACAAAAGAGATCTATATTGTGCATTGTTTGACAATCAAAATTGCAACTCCATCAATCCATGAAATTGTAAAAGCTAAAATAGACTATAGGTTCAAACTCATTCCTCTCAGCTACAACAGTAAGCTAATTTCAAGGTTTTTAAAACGGATATTTTCCCTCTTCAGCAAAAAACTGCTCCTTGCATTCCTGAGAACAAAAAAGAGTTTCTGCTGCTTAGCTGACCACGACCTATTTGTTGACAAGAGAACTGCAAGGCCAACCACCGGCCAACCATCATATAAATATTGCTCAAAGACTGAATAATTCTTTTAAAACAACATCTCCCCAAGACTGCCATTGCCCATCTTCTCCAAGTCTTCTTGTGACAATAGGGTTTTCTTACCACTACCGCCACTCTTATCATATGGTTGTGCCATCTTCCGTAAAAACTGCACAACATATGGAAGAATAAAACAATAATAATACACTCAAGTTCAACACTTATGAAGTTAAAATTGTCAGTTTGTACTCAGTCAAACCACCTTAAGCTTCCAACACTGAATTTCAGAATAACTAATATTTCAAGTTCTAGTTTAGATGTAATTAAGGAAAAAAGTGAAATCTAACACCTAAATTGGTCCTTTTTCAAAACAGAAACTGGTCCTGTTACCCCATCTGGCCTCAATTTTAGCTCTCATAACAGTCATTATTTCTGCATTTAAAATTATTCCACAGAGGAATCAGTTGCAAGGGGAATCTAATCACATTTCCTTGCTATTTAGAACTGTTCCTCATGTATACTGACATAGACCTGCAGGCATTCTCTGAAAAATGTAAGAACTGCATAGTAATAAGCACACACCTCTCGTGCTATATGCATAGCCATATCAGTACTCAAGTTTAGGTGAGCATCACGTAAATGTGACAGTATCCATCCAGGCAATTTAGAACGTTTGTCATGACGGCTGTACCTGAACACATTAGAGATGCTCATCAAAACATAGAAGGAATAAAATTCCCCAAAAATGACAAGTTAATTTGCCAAACAAATGGTTAACTGTGAATTCTCCAGGCATTGCCACGATGAAACAAAATCTAGTTAACATGCTTTGCAAACTTGATGCCTTAATTTTTTGGTAGACAGTACCTACATACTAGCAAATAGCAATAGACGTAAGAATAGCAAATTACAGCTTGCATGCATCTGGCACTAAGGTTTCTTCCATCAAATGTTCTTAATAATATCCTCCCAACATGTTTGTTGGTTCCCCATAGACTCGATGGCCAACAATGACACTGGTAAACTGTTCAGTCAACATAATTTTACAACTTCCATTTAGCTTGGCAAGCTATCTAAATTTAGTACTTTAGAATTATTTATCGATAGATGAAGCTAATAAGCAGACCAATCTAAATTAACAAAAAGTGCAGAATCTACTTTTAGCAATCAAATTCCAAACATGGACCTGATTGTCATGAACTTTTGATTATTTAGTTACACTGAGGTACAGAATATCTTTGACTGATAGTAAACCCCCAGGATTGAATACATGATGTAGGAGCAGTATTAATAATTCCATAAAAAGAATACCTTTTGTCAGCAAAAATCATCATCCCATAATCTGCCTTTGAACGGATAACTCGCCCCACACATTGAGCAGCTTGTCTCTGAATAAATGTAGTCCCATTATTGAAGCTCAAACTTATTTTTTCAAAAGAAAAAAAACACAATTATCACACAACCAAACATGCAGTACAAAAATACCAGAGCGTCAAAAGTCAGAAAATCGCCTTCCTTTATCTGGAAAGTCTCCCTTAAATACTCCAAACGTGCAATCAATATTCTGCAACAATCAAGAAAATAAAGCTTAACGGATCAACAGGCCTAGGCAATGAACTTCATAAACATATTTGGACACAGCCGCTGATATTTTCAAGTACCAAGGCTGCAAAACAGTCATAGCAAATCACCTGCTTAATGTATACTGAAAAGGGACCCCAAACATGATAACAAGTCTGCCATAATGTCTATCAAAATCAATACCTTCTGCCACTTTTCCCCTACAAGAATACAGTAAAATAACAATCATAGAATCTCATCAAAACCTGATGTTTCTCTATCAGTATTCAGTTGACAATCAAATGAACTGTTTCAACATAGACACCCCATTATTATTTGCTTTAGTAAATTTGTAAAACCAGGAGAAAAGCATGCAGACAATTTTTAATTTTTTATCCTGCATTTCAATGGATGGAAGGGCTTACTTTGCCACAATGTCACACCATAATTTCTGATTAACCTCTCCATTCTAATTGAACACAAGTGTATTGATGTCTAAGTATATGTTGTACTTGATAATCTTTTAGTTACAAACCCAAAAGAGGAGGCTTTTGTTCAGATCCCTACTTTCAAATTTTGTAAAAAAGTGGGAAGGTCTACCTGGCAACAGAGAAAAAGACAGCACCCCGCCCACAATCACAAGCTTTGCGATAGTTATCAAGAGCCAGTGTAGTTTCCACCACATCCTGAGTCTCAATAAAGACAAGCTTATGTTGCATTATTTCCTGCAACAAAGATTTCAAACAAAAAAATATAATAATTGTAAGGCAAAACAAACTTCTGTTTCTTTCTGGTTAGAACTAGAGAGATTCTATAAATTCAAGTGGACGAAATTCCCATAAAATACATTACGTATTTATCTTATACATTGATATAACGTTTCCATCACTTTGCTTTAACAAATATTTTACAGAATAGAACCTTAATGAGTGACAAGAAAAAGAATTGTTTTCTGTATACGAGAAAATGAGACAGACAGTAAATTGTCACCTTCAAAATACCCTTTTCATTCCAACTGTTGACTATTCCATCCATATACGAGTAACTGACAAAAAAACACACTATCCCATCTGGAACAATAGACACCATCTCCAGCAAAAGCCTCCCATAATTTCTTTCTACACCTTCGTCAGTTCTCATATCATATTTTGTGCTAACAGGAAGCTGATCACTGAAAAGGACAAGCCAAATGGTATTAATTGCAGAGAAAACAACAAACAAAACAACAAATTAATTAACATAATGGCATAGATGACTTTCAACTAAATAAATGAAAAGAAAAAAATTACAGTAGCAGAAAAATTTTAAAGTAGTAAGATATTAGATAAAAAAAAGAAATACACAACAGTTGAACCATGTACCTTCCACGGGTCAGAACCATTGGGCATATACAATCCCTTGTCAAGGACATCGTAAAACTTCGGCTAACAACCGGATTGAAATTAAGAAGGCGAGGGTAGAGATCAATAGGGCTTAGAGTTCCAGAAGTAATGACAACTGTCTGAAATCGTTCAAATACAGGCTTTATGGCAAGAGAAGCATCATGGCAGCTAAGCTGGAAAGTGAATATGAAAACAAAATTATCTCCTTGTAAATAAATAGCATGTGTAGAATACAAGATGAATTTGAAATAATCAATGCCTGCTGCGGCATATTACAAGAATAGATGTAGTTATCACAAATGACCACTTTCTGCATTTGTAGAGGCAACAAAGATGGAAGGCAATTATGGGTATTATTAAGATATTCTATACAAAAAACAAAAAAAAAAAAAAAAAAAAAAAATTGATCAAAACATCCAATCATTAATCTATTACACTGGAGTTCGGACACAGAACATATAAGATGGATCCAACACAAGTAAAGATACTTGACCTAGAAATGATAGATGGGATACGTAACAAGTAACATATGTGGTGTCAGACCAGCAATAATTTGTGCAGCAACAATACAATTTATTGATTTCAGACAATGGACCAACAAGTCTATTGTTTCCTACAGTTAAGGGAGGGAGGGAAGGAAGAAGAAAAGAACACTTAAAACTTTCTAATATAAGCAAACCTGCAATACGGGATCCGGGATATTTGGCATTCTCTCATCAAAAGGTTCAATTATAATTGAGAACCCCCGAGTGTATGTCCCCACGAGTGTTGCAAAGTCACAAATTGTTTGAATATGTAAAAATTCATCTGTGTCGGTTATCTCTAGTGTCATCATCAGTGAGTGCAGGCGGTCATAACAAAATCTCAGTACTTTCTGGTCGATCCCAACTTGTGCATTTATAGAGGCCACAAAGGTAACAGGTCCCTCCTTTTCAACATTCTCAGTTTGCAGACGCCCTTTAAGATATTGTACTAATCTGCGTAAAACAGATAGGAAATGCTCTGCCCGGCGTATGTTTCCAGGAACTGCCTCCTTGAGAATATCATCGGGCAAAGCAGGATTTGAGAGCCACGTATCTGCGACTGCACGCGTAGAAGAGCATATGTTGTGATAATTGATTGTAATGTCATTTTTTTTTAAATTACAAACAGGGTAACATTTAATCAATCATTTGTGCATGAGAATTCCACATACTAGGTAGGTTCCCTCTTTGTGCCAAACCTTCAACAAGCCGGTTGTATTCTGCACGCAATCTGCCTGCATCAGTGGCCTTAAACCTTCCTACCATTCCAAACAAAGTAAAACCATGTATCAAATTTTAGTCAGAAAAGGACACAGCAACGAGTTTGGAGAATGCATAACAGGATAATTTTCCACTACCACAAGTTTATCTTGGTCCTAAAAAGACTTTGAAAGAGAAGCAACCAAAACAGGTGATTATAATTATAATTATAATTATCATGTAGTTTAGTAAAATCATATTTGAGGTTCTTGGTTTTAACATAAGGGATGGCATTAAATCTTAGGTGAACACCCCAGGGTGACCTAACGCATTGAGGTATGAGCCTCTTCGCTTGAACCTTGAGGAGTTTCCCCTTGGTTTCATACCAGCCAAACCCATACATACCTTTTAAAACAATGGCTCTAACACATTAAAACTGAATATTACAAAACTTCACTTCCATATCGAAAAGTATGTTAAACTGAGCACATAAACCATCAATTGTAGACACGAAGAACCTGTAATTCATGTATTTAAGTGTGTGGGTAAGCAAAATTATACCGAAGAAAATAAATTTGCAATCCTAAAGCAGCAGTCCGTTTATAAATGACCACTTTTGGCATAATGAGAGTGATACTGGGATACCATGGGCCATGTAATCAAGTCCACCAAGTATCATGATAATACTGCAGAAAACTAAACAGACTACTTGCAAGAAGACGAATGGAACAATAAAAAGAAGTGCATACCTTTCAATCTCATGAGACATCTTATTGAGATTCCTTGTTGCCCCTTCTAGGGTCTGGCTCCTCACACTGACACTAAGTGCTTCAATACACACATTGTCAATATTATGTGCCTCATCGAACACCACAACTGACTCCCTCTGCATTTCCTTCGATATGATCCCAGCAACCTTCGGGTCAAGCAAGTACTGGTAACTATAAACCACAACATTTGCAAACTGCACCATATGGCGCGCTAAAAAGTACGGACACCACCCTTTCTCCTTCCCAAACGCCCTCAAATCCTGCAAGAATTGGGACAAAATCTCATTGCTCAGTAATAACACATCATTTGCTAAGCAATTTTGGTATAAAAATTTGGTCATCTCAGAATTACTCAAAACTAATGTCGAAAGGTGAACTAGTGTTAATCCACCACTTTCCAGAATTCTTTGACAGTTCTGTACACTAATTTCATGTACTGGACAACTGGAACTTGATTCCTAAAGAAGTGGGACTGACTAATTGAGTTATAGGGAGGAGAAAAGCAACAAGAAAAAGGAAATCACAGAGAAGGATGATGATATGTGTGTGTCACAAATAAAGAAAAATCAATGTCAAACAACATAAAAGATGCAACATTGTTTCATTTTCAGAATATTACAGCAAAATCCACACATCAAAAACCACAAAATTAGAAAAATTCGCAAGAGATTCGAATACAACCTGCAAGGTGTAGACACCAGGGGGCAAGACCGCATTAGAAGCAGCCTTCTCATAATCCTCAAAAAACGAACAAGTGGGAATATTAGGGTTTTCAACAGCCAGCGAGCGGACCCAACTGGCAGTAAGTTTGCGGCAAGCAGCATCAACAGAATCCCGATTCTCGGCAGCAGAGACAACGGAGGGATTAATGCAGAGGTTCTTGCGAGAAGAGAGGCCGAGGGCGAGAATGCGGGCGGAGGGGCCGAGGTGTTGGAGCTGGTAGCGGTGGAGGAAGCGGAGCTCGGCTAGGGTTTTCTCCATCTCGTGGACGGTGCGAGTGCAGTAGAGGAGCTTGACTGGGTTGGAGGGTTTAGAGAGAGAGTAGCTGGTGATGAGAGAGAGGAGAGCGATGGTTTTACCAGTGCCGGTGGGCATCTCGAGAAGACAATGGCCTTTGGCGTCGAGGGATCGTTTGAGTTCAACCATGTAGGAGTATTGTTCTGGGTATATGTGATCGTATGGGAAGTATACTGTTACGTCTTCTATCTGAAACTTCATCTTTTCTCTTTCGATCTCTGTGTCTCGCTAGATTCTGCTACAAAAAGATTGGGTGGGATGATGAGTTTGATCGTTGTCTAACATTTTAGGAGTGACGGAGCCATATGGTAGCAGCACCGTGCCAATGACCCCTCTCAGGACATAAGACGACGTCGTTTCAAACTGAGAGCCTGTTTGTTTTTTCTTTTGTTTTTTTGGTCCAATTCAAAAGAAATAAAGACAAAGAGTTAAAGGCATGAAGCCTTGATTACACATTACACAGAAGAGGATGTGCCTAGAATATTTGCAACAAACAGACTTGCAACCTCAGTAGGAGGGTCATTCAAAAATACAAAAGATTCTTGGTGATGAACCCCTAAATTAGCCACGCCATCAGATGCTTTGTTTTCTTCTCAGGGGATGTGTTGGATGGTTACATTTGCACCTCTGCAACAGGAGCTTTGCATCTTCAAGGAGGGCCCTGTGCTGAAAGTTTGGGCTAGATTCTTCTTGGATGAGTTTAACAACTTGCACAGAATCAATCTCAATAGTAATGTCTCTCAATCCTTTCTCTAATACGATAGTGAGACCCCTATATGCTCCCCACAACTCTGCTTCCAAGCTTGTGGCTTCCTCCAGTCTTCCATGGTAGCCATGAATCCAAGTTCCACTTTCATCCCTGAATAGGCCTCCATAACCAATTGGTCCAGGGTTACCTTTTGAGCATCCATCAATGTTGAGTTTGATTGTACTTGTAAAAGGCAAAGCCCAATTAGTTTTGTGTTGTAGAAGTTGACCAGTAAGGTGATCAGATTTGAATGTTTCATAAGTATCAGTGGCTTGTTGTTGAATGTATTTGGTGGCTTCATATACATTGCAATCTTCATTCTTGAAAACAAGATTGTTTCTATCTTTCCAGGTTTTCCACATAGCAAATAAAAATACAATACCCTAAGGAATGTGATAAATTTTTTTCTCCTAGCATTTCAAATTAGTTTGGAGCCATTGATTCCAGGATTGGTGTGCACTGGATTGAAGCCAGCTATGGCTTCGAATAGCTAGCCAAACTTCCATAGTTTTAGGACATTCTTTGAAAAGGTGGCATTAGTCTTCTTGAGCTAAATTACACCTGGAACAACTGTCATCCATGGTCAAACCTCTAGTTTTTCTATGATGGTTGGTCAAAAGTTTCTTATGAAAGAGCAACCAACAGAAGCCATTTAGTTTTTAAGGGATTTTTTGTTTCTAGATCCATTGCCAGCTGACATTATCACTATCCTTATCCAAATTTGTTAAGAGGTCATAAGCTGCACTAACAGTGAAGTTACTAGAAAGAGCTCTTGTCCAGTGGGGGTTATCAGGTACCTTTACAAATTAAGGTAAGTGGATTTGGGATATATCTAGAAGAATGGACTGTGGGATGAACTCAGTAAGTGAATCAAAGTTCCAGGACCCATCTTCATTGATAACGTCAGCAACTTTTAAACAGTTAGAGGTATGGTCACCTGGGCATTGAGATGCAATAGTAGTCTCTCCACAACACCAATCATTCCAGAAGGATATATTTTTGTCATTACCAACTGACCACTTCACACCTTTTTTAAGAAGATCCCTAGTTTTGATGATGCTTCTCCAAGTGTGAGAAGTCAATCTGTTACTAGGCCAATCCATCAATGATTCTTTTTTAAGATACTTGCCTCTGAGGATAACAGACCATTGAAAGTCCTTATCACTGATTAATTTCCAACCAAGCTCAGTTAGAAGTGCTAGATTTTGGTCTTCAGCTATTTTAATGCCAAGGCCTCCCTGTTGTTTTCTCTTGAAAACTTGTCTCCAATTTACAAGATGGACTTTCCTCTTGACAGGAAGGTCTCCTCAAAGGAAGTTTTTGTTAAGCCTATCAAGGTGTTGGCACACACTTTGAGGGAGTTTAGTAGTTTGCATGATATAAGAAGGTATGGCTAAGGGTACAGATTAAATAAGGGTATTCTACCAGCTAGGAAGAGGGTATTGGCTTTCCAGGTGAATAGTTTGTTTTGAAATTTCTCCATAATGTCATTAAACATACCCCTCTGAATTCTACTATGGAGAAGGGGGACTCCCAGATATTTGCCCATATTTTTTGTAAAGCCTATCCCACAAAACTGACTCAACTCTTTTGCCTTCCTACTATCCACATTTGGAGAGATGAACATTTTTTTATTTATGTAGGCTAAGTTGCTGACCAGAGATGAGACAGAATTCATTGATATGTACACATAATAGTCTCACAATTAAGTTGGTCAACTTGAGCAAATAGGAAGAGATTTTCTGCAAAGAACATGTGTGATATAGAAGGGCCCTCTTGAGCTACTTTAATACCCTTCCATTGTTTTTTCTCCACTTTGCATCTAATCATATTGGACAATCTTTCCATACAAAGAACAAATAAGTAGGGAGATAAAGGGCCACCCTGTCTCAAACCTCTGCCGAGTGTGAATTCATCCAAGGTTTCCCCATTCCATAGTAAAGAGGATTTAATGGAAGAAACACAAGACATAGTAAGATCAATCCAGTGAGTATTCATATTAAATTCCTGAAGGGTATTTCTAAGAAAATCACAAGAAATCTTATCATAGGCTTTTTCAAGGTCTAATTTAAGAATAAGGCCACCATGTTAACCTTTCCTGTGATGAAGGGTATGGATTAACTCTTGGGTTATAATGATGTTATCATGAGTTGGCCGGCCAGGGAGAAAACTACTTTGGTTAGGACTGATAAGACTATGAAGAAGGGGTCTAAGTCTGGTGACAAGAATTTTGGCTAAAATTTTGTAAGCCATATTGCAAAGGTTGATAGGGCAAAATTGCTTAATGGTTTCAGGGTTATCAGACTTAGGGATAAGGGCAATAAGGGTTCCATTGATTTTTGGGGGTATAGCCTTTTCAAGAAAACAACTTTTAATAAAGGCACAAATATCCTAACCAATAATGTCCCAAAATTTATGATAAAAGATGGCTTGGAAACCATCCCTGCTAGGAGCTTTGAAAGCATTAATATGCTTGGTGGCTTTCCAAATCTCATGATTAGTTAAACCCCTAGAGATCCTGTGATTCTCTTCAGGTGAAATGGTGTGAGTTGCAATATTATTCTAGTGACTAAGTTTGACGATTGGAACAACTTGGAACATAGCTATAAAGTAATCTTGGATGTGTGCTTTAACAGCTTGGGCTTCCATTATCCAGTTCCCAGTATCAAACCGTAAGGAATCAATTTTAAGTCTCTTCCGTTTGGTGATAGTAGACACATGAAAATATTTTGCGTTTTTTTCCTCTTGCAAGAGGGTTTTATTGTATTGACAAATAAGGTTTTTTTCCAGTAAAAATAAGTTGTGGGAAAAGTGATTAACAAGAGCTTTTTGAATTCCTTCAATGCAAGATAGAATACATCTTTTTCTTTTAAAGATATTACCAAAGATTTCCTTATTCCAAATTAGGGAATCATCAGCAACCTGCAATAAATTAGTACTTAGAGATTGATTATGATCCCAAGAGAAATAGATCACATCTCTGTACTGGGGGTGTTAAAGCCAAGCTGCCTCGAAGTGAAAAGAATAATTACAAGGAGAAAGTTTAGAGATAACTTCTGTGTAGACAATGAGAAGAGAATGATCAGAATAGGTCCGAGAGAGATTCTGCACTGTACCTTCTGGAAAGAGGGTGCACCATTTAACATTGCACAATGCACAATCCAAACGCTCCATAGTATTAGATAAACCTTTCCTATTGTTCTTCTAGGTGAGTTTAGGTCTTGTGTAGCCAAGATCCATGAGACCGCAACGGTTGATTTGGTCTAAGAATCTGCAACTTCGATTTTGTTAATTAGTCAGGGTGAAGCTCCTTCTTTCATGGTTGCTACTAATTTCATTAAAATCCCTAGCAATGAGCCAGGGCTTAGTCATAGAGCTGGTTGTGTCTTCCAAGTCTTGCCAAAGGTTTTGACGGAGTCTGATGTTGGGGCTTGCATAAATTATGCCCAACACCCAGTCCTCATAATGTTGCCTTTGGACCGTGGCTTGAATCACTTGGTGGTTAGCAATATGAGCACTAACTGAGACTTGTGTAGGATTCCAGAGGAGCCAAATGCCTCCAACACGACCCACAGGGTCTACAATTATAGAAGCAGTATATCCTAGGTTGTTGAAAAAAAGTCCCATAAAATTGAACAAAACTTTGGTTTCAAAAAGTGCCACCACATCTCGTCTATGAGTTCTGATGATCTCCCTAAAGTTCCTTCTGAGGGTTTTGTTGCCGGCTCCCTGGCAGTTCCATAGCATGACATTCATTGATGGACAATTGGGGCGGTGTTGTAACGGTTCTGAAAGGCTTAAACCAACCATATTACGTACGAGAGTTTGGCTCAAAGTAGTTGACCTCAGGGCTCCATCTGCGTTGCTTGAATATGTGGTGATAAAGGAATAATAGGACAGGAGCTAGTTGGGATAGTGGTGACCAACTCATGTAATAGGCTTTCAGGCTCAAAGGCAAAGTTTAACACAGGTCTACTCTCTGAAGCAGTGGTACTCTTCACATGGCTATCGTGGAGGATTGTGACTGAGCTAGCCATAAGGTGGTGTAAAGCAGAAGGAGTAGACTGATGTGGATTAAGTGCAGACTCAGAGTTGGGGTGTGAGTTATTTACACTAGATGAGGCTTGAGGGGGGTTTGTGTGCTGAAGTACCTAGGCCTTCTTGCCTTTAGTTAAAACAATGGTGCCATCCATGATGGATTTGGGAGTTAAAATAATGGGGCTTCTTGTACATTGTCGGCTCGAAGTTTCGGATAGGAGGTGCTTGTGATTTCTCCTATTGACAAGCATTCATGGGCCAAACAGGGCTTCGTTGCCAAGGTGTTGATCATTTGTTGGGCCTAGAGGAGGAGCCGTTGGGATTTGCTCAGAGAGAACAGCTAAGCTATTGCTAACACCTCCTTGGTGTGCCGGAGCCAGTGTCGGAGACAGTAGCTAAACGGGTTTAAGATTGCAGTATTCTTTACAGTGACCAACCTTACTACAATTAATACAAAAGTAGTGAAGGTGTTCATATTCTATTATATAAGTATATTTACCAATAGCAAATCTAGATACAAGAGGCTTTGTAAGATCAACTTCAACACATACCTGAGCATACCGACCTCAAGTAGACATGGCTATATTCAGATCCACTTTGAGTGGTTTACCAACCACCTTGGCAATATGGAAGAGAACCTTTTCATTGTAATATTCAATAAGGAGTTGTGGGAACCTAACCTACAGAGCTGTAGCAACTTCTTTAGCTTCCGATGGCTTGAAATCGTGTTCCTATCGACGAACAGTTAGGTAATGATCCATGATTATCCATGGCCCTTCTGTGTATACTCTGCTGCAGTCAACGATCATTTCAAATTTCACTAGGAAAAAGCCAAGCCCCAGATCTGTGGCTTCAAAGTCACCTTGTAATCTCCAAATTTTCCTTAATTTGTTGACAAGAAATTTGAATCCCACTATTTTCCCCAAGAGACGGACTATGAGACAATCCTTCCAAGGTTTACGTATCGATTTCACGAGTCGTAGGGGCAACTTGATTCTGGGTATTTTGGGAACTAGGTCTTGCTCTTGTTCGTTTTCTAATAAGGCCTCATTATCCTTTTCATCAGTGAGGAATTCATCATCAATGGATAGCCAATTCAAATCATTATCAAAGGCCTTTTCATTAGGTTTAGGCCAAGTTTGGCAACCAAAAAATAATCCATCTTTTTATCTTTTTTCCATCACATCACCTCTCTACTTTTCTACACATCTTTTCGTAAAAAGACAAAAAGTACACTTATTTAGGTCATTTCAAACAAGAGTTTGTTTTCTTTGTGAGAGCTTGTTTTCTACACATCTTTGTGAGAGCTTGTTTGAAGGATTTCTTTTGGGCACCTCAGATGGCGTGGAAAGCATTTCCATTTCCTGATCTTCTTGGTTTGCCTTAGGTGTTGCCAGATTCTCCTCCATCAGCTGATCTCCCTCACCAATCGTAAAGCTCTTGACCTTTTTGGTGCTTTGCACCAGACGATCCTCATCCTCGATGGATCAGCCATTGTTACCAATGTTTAGAGAGAGAGTCTTGACCGTTGTTCTCTGACATCACGTTTTGGGCACAACTGAGAGGTTGTTTGACATCACCTAAAGAAGTCACATTTTTTTTTTACCCTCTTCATCTTATGCAGCCAAATTAAAAATTTAAATTTTTTTTGAAAAAATTTCAAAAACAAATGCAAAAAGGCAACTATTTTTAATTTATTTTTGTCTTTTTTAAAATTTTAATTTTTCAATTCGTCTCACCTTAAAAAATTTATTAAAAAAATTCATAAAAATTAAAATTAAGTTTACAAAAAAAAAAAAAAAAAAAAAAAAAACTTAAACACCCACTGACATTAAAGCGAAATATTTCAAGAATTGTATGGTGAATAATTAAAATTCGAATTTACTGGTGGTGTTTGGCAACTTGGGTTTGAGATTTTTTTTTATTTTTTCCACTAAAAGACAAACTTTTTGCAAAACAAAAAAAAATACATCCAAACAAAATATCACATCCAACCCCATAATCATTTCACTTTTTCTCTCACAAACATCACATTCAACCACATAAAAACCCAACTATCTTTCCAAACACAAAAAAAATTTCTCTAATAAAATCCTACAACTAAAAAAACCTACATAAAAACTCACTTCCCAAACACCCACTGAATTTGGGGTGAATGTCAAACTAAAAAGAAAAGAATTGTAAGTAAAACAAAATTAATACAAATTATTCACTTTCCCCCTTATTCATTCATTTTACAAACCCCCCCTCCCAAAAAAAAAAAAAAAAAAGGGGGGGGGGGGGGGAGTTTGGCTATAAAAATAGTTTGAACTTTCGAACAATGCATGCAAATGTACCTTTTACAAAATGATTTTAAAAAAATAAGTAATTTCTTTAAAAAATTAGTTTTGGTGGTGGGAATCTTATCTTTTTAAACACATGTACATGGAAGTAAACATGTTTTTCTCGACGTTCATATCTTGAAATGTATAACAGTCCATGTTTTTGTCATCATAAATATGCAACACAACAAAAGCAATCTGGCCCCCTTCTTGTAATCTGAAAAATGCTTCATTATACAACATCAAGATTCTTTTCCTAACTACATCACATACTCTATTTGCAACAAAATAGATTCATAACAATGCCAAGATCCTAGAAGATACATTTCCTAATTGAAGATGATGATATAAAGAGCAATATGGGATAACCAGCCAGAGAACCAAAAATGTTAGTTGTGGAGAGAACTGGGACTACTACTATGAACATTTGCTCTGCAAGCCAGGTTGACTTCTAGTTTGGTTCTGCTACTCCAGCAAAAACTGACTACATCCAAACCAATGAACCATGGGATGAAAGAATCAAAATGAATGACCTAAAATTCTGTTCACAACTTCAGAATATGAAAATTGTATGACCCACCTCACTCTTCTGTCGAAGATGTCTTGGATGCTATGCCTTTAATTACATGTCGACATTGAAACCTGTTAAGACGTTAATAAATTAGATATCACTTTTTTCAATATTTAAAGTAGAAGATTACCAATAAGGGAGAAAAAAGTGCAGTTGGAGTATTAAGTACCAGATCAAATCATTTGAAGTAGAATCCAACAAACTGACAGATTCAGCAGTTTGAGCAACACAATGTTGAGCGTCGGTTTCCAAATCTTGGGTTCTACACTTGAATCGTAACCTGAGAGGCACTATCTGCAACATAAAGTGCCAACCATACATACATTACTGTTAGGCCATAAAGAAAGTGTAACCATGGATGAAAAGCTTTAAGTTCTTAATGCTAGAAAACCTCAAGATACATATAACAAGGTTAACAAATCATCAGAGATTTATCTAATCATTTCAAACAATTCATGACACTAAGCATATAGACATTGAAACATATCATCATTCCACAACACCCCCACCTTCATAATTAGATGTCACTATTAGATTGACTGGGGACTCAGCTCCAGCTCAAACAAAATCCTTATCTAGTTCCAAAGGGATTTAAAAACTTGACCACAAACCTGAAATCTGACAATGATATACTGCTTTCAAACAAATGTGAGTACCATACATCCTCAATTAATCAACAAGTTTCTTGTATTTATCAAGATTCCCAGGATGATCTAAGAAACAACCTCTAAAATCTAGAATTACTAAAAGCAACAAAATGTACCCTACTAGTTGTGTGTGTGAATTGTTACCTTTTTGCTGTACCTGAAGTCACGCTTGGGAAGAAAATGCAGGGGCAGGTTGAAAGAAGGTGGAGCTTTAACCAACAAAAACAACTTGGTAGGGCCTAAAAAAATGATAAACAGAAGTGCTATAAATTGTAGAAAATTTATTTCTGAACTATCTATCTGCTAGTGAAAAGTTAAGCTAAACTATTTACCTGCATAAGAATCAGATCCTGCTCCCTTGGAAATTAGCGTCCGAATAGCCTATTCAAGACATGAACTATAAGGACCAACAAAAGTGTAATTAGAAAGCATAAATACTGATAAGCTTTAAGAACCTTTCTTGAAAGCCCTTCTGCTGCTCGGCTTTTAGTGAAATCAACATCACCTCCAGATACAACCTTTCCATGTAAAAAGCACACCTCATAAACATGTCGAGGGCGTATTGGGCTGGCTCCAAGAACCAAAATGACTCCATTGATATCGGGAATCTCACTAATCATCAGTTGCAGGGCAGTTCGGAGGCTAGAAATTGTCGTCATCACTTTCTCCAGTCTTCTAATCCCCTGTTTTACCTCTCTCATTCTCCCAGCATGCTTCCTCCGGAAAGATGCCTTGAATTCATTTTGTGCCAGAACCATCTCCTAAAACCAAAAATACATAGGTTGCATAAATTATATCACCAAAACTCCTACAATGGAAGGAAACTATCTTCACTCAGCTAACATACCAATTCTTTATACTCAGTTTGAAGTGTGTCAAATTCAAGACTCACATCCTGCAAAATACTGCAAATATAAATTGGTTTTAGAGGCCCTCGCTAAGCAATTAATTCAAATTCACCACATCCACCATTAGAATCAAGAAATTTAAGACAAATATCAGCTGTAAAATTTGGCTCCTACCCAAAAATAAAAAATAAAAAAATATTATTGGCAGAAATTTCAGTGGTGAAATAATTTATTGCTATCTAGATATGCAAATTTGAAATTACTAGTTTTTGTTCTTCTCTCTCTCTCTGGCTTTTTGGATGGGTGTATTTGGGAAAGGCTGTGACTTTGATACTTTCAATCTCATTACTAAACCAGGTAAAAGATCACTATAACTAAATATCTCAATCAACTAAATATCCCAAGAAATTAGTGTGAATGAGACAGTAAACGCTCTTAAATCTCATCAAAAAAAAAAAAAAAAAAAACTAAAAAAACTAATTAGAGGAAAACTTTATTAAAAAAAAAAAAAAAAAAAAAAAAAAGGAATTTTGAAAAGATAAGAAAGAACATACGAAGGGATTTGCTGGTGCATGTAAAGGACGAACCCTAGGATGTCAGCGACGACATGGAATATGACGGAGCTGTCAAAGCACTCCGCCCTGGTCTCGATCTCCGTGAACTCCATCTCCGATCTTCCTTCTCCTTCCATCTCTGCAACTCCCAATTCCAGACCTTGCTGCTCTTCTGCTATTCGAAAACAAATTTGGGCGGGTTAACGTGACAGACAATGAAAAGACTTGTTTGGGAACAAGTATAGAGTCATCCAACGCCGGAACAGATGCATACGTGGATTGGATATTGATAGCATAAAATGGGTAATTAAGGTCAGAATTTTTAAAATGTAACGTTTAATTAGCCCCTAAAAATTAATTTAAGCAAATTGTAAAAATATTAAAAACAGATTGGCTCATGAAAGATGATCAAAAAAGATAATTAGTTCGGTAGATTTTGCTATAATTGAATTATATTTAGAAAGAAAGAAAAAAAGAAAACAGTTTCTAAAAATGGAAATTAGGGGCATTAGGGGTAAATTTTTTAGGGCCACCAATCATTTTCCAATGGGTAATTAAGGTCAGAATTTTTAAAATGTTGAAACAATAATTTGAGAGAGTGATAGAGGATTGAGAGAGAAAGAAAGAGCCACAGAATTGTTCAGTGAATGTGTATATTACAAAGAGATTTACACTCTCTTTTATAGAGAGGAAAAGTTACATAGGGTGCCGGACATACAGAAAAATAAAGACAATGATGTGATAACTTATAGTAATTTTTTAATTAAAAGTTCAAGTGCCCAAACAAGGCTTATTCAATTAGTCTTTTGATCAATTACACTTTTGAATATATTTGAAGAGGTAATTTATCCTAATTAATCTTGTAGAAGGTCTAGCATTTTTTGAACAAATTTCATAGAATAGTTTACTCCAATTAATTTTCTAACACTGTATTTGGTTAAAGAATTTGAGAAGTAATTTGAAAATGAAAAGGAAAAAGATAGATAAAATATAAATAATATATACTTATATTTTTTATAGTTTCATATACCTTTTTCTTTTTCATTTTCAAATCTCTTTCCAAATTTTTCGACTAAATACAAAGTAAGAGACCACTTATATACTTTTCAAATATCTTTCATATGGTGAATTGTCAAAATCCCGCATAAAATTACAATATAAACAGTATTGCCTCGTATTTGAGGTCTCTCAAATATTGAGATATATTGTACAAACAAAACAAAGAAAACCACACCAATCATCATCCTTCTTTGTCTATTGAGATATATTGTACAAACAAAACAAAGAAAACCACACCAATCATCATCCTTCTTTGTCATCAAGTTTGCATTGCAGTCGTGTTTGATCGGTAAGTGATACACAAAAAGCAGATGAAGCATTTCTCTTCGCAACAAAATCGAAACAAAATCACACAGAGATTCCAACTAAACTGTAAAACAGGATATTAATTCTAAGGTCTGAGCATATCATTTACATGCCATGCTTAAGAAATACAAATTGAAACTTCACTTACACACATATTACTAGTTAATTTCATAAGCTTATGAGTCTCATCATCCAACTCAACTTTGTCCATCTTCATGCGTTCTGCAACTATAAGTGGCATCTTACCAGCTTTGACGTAAGTACGCAAAAGCAAGTTATAGACTTCTGTATTCAAATGGCCAGCCTTTCGAAGGGTGACCAACAACTGCTCTGCCCCATCAACGTTGCCTTGCTCTTCAAGGTTCCTAAATACTTCTCGAATGATTTTCTCATCGGGTTCCCATTTCTTCACACTACCAACAGCTTTCTTGAAACAATCCAAAACTTTATCCGTCTGTTTTTGTTTCAAATAGCCCCAGGTGAGAAGCTCCCACGTGGTGTAACTTGGTTTGATCCCTCTTTGAACCATCCGATTGTAAAAATTCTCCGCCAATTCCATCTCTTTTTTGTTGATGTAAAATGCAAGAAGTAAGTTTGAAACCCTAGAATCACCACTGCCAGAAACAGATTCCCACTCGGTATAGATTTTCTCAGCTTCCTCAAATTCATTGAGTTTTAGGAGAGAAGATATCATGCAATTATACTCTGCATCATTCATTTTCAGGAATGTTGATTTCATCTTTTTCCATATCCGGTTCACCTCATCCTTGCTTCCTATGTTTGTATGCAGACTAAGGAGGGAGGAATAAGCAACACGAAATTTTCGAAAAGTCCTCTCCTCCATTTCCTTCAAAGTAGGTTTTGCTTTATCAAACAACAATTTTCTTATGTACAAGCTGCTTAAAGTGCTGTATGTAACCCAGTCCGGATCTATTTTCGCCTTCTTTAGCTCGAGAAAGATCTTCTCTGCAGCCTCAACATCATTCTGTGAGGCACAGGAAGTTAGCCACAGATTGTAAGTGACCACATCCGGTGAAGTGTTCTTCTTCAAATCTTGAATCACTGCAGGAACCTTGTCTAATTGGCCCTGGGAGATGTACAGAGAAAGCATGTGGTTATAAGGAAGAGGGTATTTCAAGAAACCACATTCAGACATTTTTTCCATAAGAGCCTCAGCTTTAGAAGATTCCTTGTGCTGGACATAGGTGTGGAGAAGAGAAGTACAGGTAGGCTGGCCTTTCAGTCCATCGGGAAGATCTTCGAAAAACTTTTCTGCACTACTTAGACCACGAACTTTTGCAATCAAGTCCAAATGAACCGCATAATCTCCCGGTTGCAGCTTGATGTCACCTTGTATTTTCATCCATTCACATATCTGCATAAATAATCAAAATTGAGACCCTGTTGGGGAACAAATCACATACACAAACAATACCAAGAAGAATCAATCACAAACAAGAAAATTTGACACACAAATTTACATGTTTCAAAGAATTTTTTTTTTTTTTTTTTACATGTTTCAACAAGATTGCCTACAACCAGTTCCACTATACAAAGAGAAGAGAAGAGTACAATGCGGCTGATTGTGAAAACAACAATATATTTATATGTCAGGTTTACATCGACAAATTACCATAATATTCCTACTACAATGCCCAACCCCCTTAGAGCAGGACATCAGTACTAACCCGGTTTCACAATCTCAGCACCGTCAACTATAAGGCATGAAGTGAAAGACATAATCTTCAGTAATCTAAAATCCAAAATCATTCAAATCAAACACGCCAAAAAGATTAGCAAAAAATTGAATATTGTGATTCCGTTAAGCTAAGGAGTTATGCCATACAAACAAGTAAATTTTATGAGCATTTTTTTTTTCATTGTCCCATTTCAAATATAAAGATTCATCACTCCATATTCTGTGCCAAAGTCACCAAAACCCACATTCCACAAATTTCCAGATAAAATTGAAATTATACTAGTGAATACACCTTTTGAAGTTTTAAGCAAAACTCAATCCATATTCTTCCACATTTCCCCTTATCTTTGCCATATGTTCAGCAGAATCAAACAGGGTTTAATACCCGCAATATCTAAACCCAGAAAAACGAATTGCAAGTATGTTTACATCCCTATCACACAATACCAACTATGTTAGTCTAATTCATAGAACCAAGAACCACCTATTAGGCATAAACACAAACACACGATAAACATGTAATAACAAACAGATAAAGCAGTAGGGTTAACAGAGGTCTGAACAATGGAGAGAGAGAGAGAAGCCAGACCTCGAGGGCGTGCTTGAAGCGCTTGTGCTTTCGGAGCTCGCGAACGATGCGATTGAGCTCGTACTTTCGGACTACGTGCCCTTCCTCTTTCCATTTCCGTATTGCGATCACGGCGCTGCGTTTGGCGTACACGAGGCTCAAAAGTCGTCTTCCCAGCGTGTCTCGTCCGGCGGAGTTCGTGGCGGCGATGGGGGCGCCGCCAGTGGTTGCGGGCTTCGCCGCCACTGCCGCCACCGCAGAGAAATAGCGCGCGGCGGCGAGGGTTGTTCGAACGCGACGGAGCAACATTTCTGCGCTTGGCGTTGTGTGAGCTTCTAGTTGCCAGTGACGACATGCGACCCAGTGATTATGGGCATTTTGTTTCGATCTCTACAAAAAGAAAGCCCACCGGCCCATGTCAAAATTCATTGCCTAAGGCTGACCCAAATTGAATGTTGGGCTTGTAAAAAAGACCCAAGCTTGCACAAAGTTAGACTGGGTTGGGGTTGCCCAGATTAGAGCATCTACATCGCCCTCTCTACAATGGCTTTAAAACTATCGTAGAGAACAAAAGCTATAAATATCAGCTCCATCAACCTTTCTATACCCTTCATTCATTTTGTGAATGCTACAGTGTCTCAATTGATTTGTTGAGGTACTGTTCACACGGTAATCAATTTTTTATTATATTTTCTGAAGCAAAGTTGGGCCAAAAATCTATGATTAGTCATCTATTCGACTGTCCCCCCTGGATGTCTCGTGAGTGCCCTGTAACAAAGAAGGAAAATGCTTAAATTTGGTCTGACCGGTCGACCGCCCCTCAGTGGGTTTGGCTCTCCTATGTTGATGTTGCTCTGCTGTTGATCTGTTATTGTCTTGAACCTTGTTTATAATTGCTTGTTCATAATATTTTAATGAAATAAAATTTTAGAATAGAGAGTTTGATGGAGTGTGTAAGCTAGCTAAAATACAAACGTAAATTTTGAATTATAATTTAGTTCAAAATTTGTTAAGGTTGATGCGATTGCTCTTAGGCCTGTTATAGTTGCACTAGTCAAGTAACTTCATTCTAGTGTCGTCTGGGGTATTCTATTATGGTACTTCTAAAAAAATACAACTTATTCAAAATTTGTATATAGTGTAACTTATGTGTGGGCCACATCATTACGAGTTTGGGATGATTATTTAGTATTCCCGGAGTATGGACACGTGTCGCTCCATAATGTTTTAATTAGTGGAGAGATGCAAGGGTCGATTTTATATTGGGGATGAGGGAACAACATAGGACTAAGTAATTGGTGATTGGCTTGGAGTATGGACACGTGGTGATTCATGAATATTAAATAATTTCCCATAAAGTTGATATATATATATATATTTATTTATTTATTTGTATGTAAAATTATTGTTGATATTACAGATTTTAGAGTATAAGAGTCATTATATGAGTGATTTCCATTTATACCTTTTAAAATAAAATTTATCATCAACTTCCTCTCTCATAGAGTGAGGATTCATTTGGCAATAATTTTTTTAGTTGGCTTTTTTTTTTACTCTTTTAGCT